AAACATCATTCCATGCAGTATTTAGAGGGATTTAAACCTTTGGGGATAATGGGAAGACTGTATCTTGTTTTAGTTGTCCAGTTGTTCTAACAGGGAACTTGACTGAAAATCGGATTATTGTGTCGCTGGGTTTTGACCTGGCCCTGTCTTACTACTATGTTTAAGTCTTTCCAAATACTTCAGGAAATTTAGGGTATGGCACTTTCTCTTTTTTTTACCTACTCCTTCATAGGGGTGTGATCCTACAAACTCTCCGTATGCATATTTTATCATCCTCAGTTTTTTACATAGGAATATGGGATACAGTAATGTCAGTATCAAACCAGGCTGCAGCTCAGGATAAAGAAAGAACTGACTCACTGCCTGGAAGCAGGGAATTGGTGATGATATAATAAAGCAGTTCTACCAGTGACTTAAACAAGCTCCTTCAGCTATCAGAAAGGACAATTTCTACTGCTATTTGTTCAGATAGTTTTGTGAGAAGCACCTATTGGCTGACACACTAAAACTAAAAAGTTTTGTCAAAAAGGGTGGCTTTTCAGATAGTTCTTGCTGTGTTTGCGAAGGCGCAAGGGTTACTTGCGTTATCTTTATTTGCACATGTTTAGAAATAAAAGTTAATCAGTCACAATAGGGTATTTCCTTCCAAGCAACTCAGTCTCTCACCCCAGTCACAACCTGCTTGCAGCTTCTTAGTTACTCGTTCAGCTTTTCTTCTCTGGTTTGGCAGACAATAGTTCCTAAACCAAGCTCTCACCTGAGAGACCACAGATTCACCTTCCCTCAAGCCAGCTGAGGTTCTGCTTTTCCCCTGCCTCATGGGAACTGCTGCATCGCTTCATCTCCCATTTGAAAGGAAATAGAAGTTGGGCCCTTCCGTGACGGGACAGTTGGGTCCACAGCAGGGAAGAGAGGCCACCTTCCTTTGCCTTTCAGAGAGAGAAAGGAGGCATGCCGGTCTTCAACAAACCTTGTTGACTTGCTGCTATCTTCTCCAAAACTTTAAAGTGGGCAGTTCTCTCCCCTGTGCCTTCTGCAATATGATTTCTGCAGAGGTCAGACTGACCATCCACAGGGATGATTGTCCCTGCTTGCCATGCTGCTCTTGTTCACAGAAGAACACTTTCAATTTTGAATGATTCTGTCTTGCACCTTCATCAGGGTGTATGGTTCTTTGCAGGTTTCTGCTGCTTGAAAACAGGAGGATTTGGATTTTGTTCACTCAGTGAAAACAGGATTTACCAAACTCAGTCAGCATTGCTGTTGGATTTGAAATTTCTCCACTTAAGAACAGAGTTTGGCATATAACCACTTTATTTTTAGTTGGGTGGCAGTGAACTGGGTCTCTGCTGTTACTCCCTCTCTTCCCTCCCACCTCCTGCCTTTTTTTGTTTGTCAGTGAAAAGATGGGTCAGGTGGGAAGGTGTAAGAAATCTTTGTAGGCATGAAAAAGAAAAGACTTTTTGTCAAAGCTGTATATATATAGTCAGCTGGCAGAATGTATGTTATTGTTGGGTTTTCTTCCCTACCGAGATAATCAAATCAATGTAACTGTGAAGGTAGATATTGCTACACAAACAGTTGTATATAAGCCTACTCCCTTAAATGCCATGGGTTAGATAAACCAAAAATCCCATTAGCTGATAAAACACAACATGGATACTATTATTTATTTTATCCTCCAACCCTGAGGTAAGGGACTGTGGTCCATGGTGTATGCTGATGACCAGCACATGAGCAGGGATACTGTTGTGGAGGGCACACTCCTACAGAATGCTGTGTCTGTGAGGAGCCCTGTGAAAGGGGGTCATGGGGGCTGAGGTTTTCCTGCTGCTGTTACAGAGGCTCCATGTTGGGTCAAAGTTCCATATTTATTGCCTAAACTGAAGTTTTTTCCCAAACTCTGCACAGTATGGTGTGGAATTAGACCTCTTCTGGTAGCTGTCCTGCTGTCATTGTCCTGCTCTGCTATGCACTGGTGAGGCCTCACCTCGAGTCCTTTGTGCATTTTTGGCTATCACAACATAAGAAAGATATTAAGGTATTAGAGAGAGTCCAGATGAGGGCTATGAATGGTGAATTGTCTGCAGGGGAAGCTGTATGAGGAGTGGCTGAGGTCACTTGGTCTGTTCAGCATGGAAGAGACTAAAGGGAGACCTCACTGTGGTCTTCAACATCCTCACAAGGGAAAGCAGAGGGCCAGGTACAGATCTCCACTCTTGTGACCCAGTGACTCCACTCAAGTGGCAGTTCTTGAGGAAACAGCATGCAGCTGAGTCACGAGAGGTTTAGGTTGGGAGTCAGGAAAAGGTTCTTTACCCAGAGGGTGGCTGGGCACTGGAAAAGGCTCCCCAGGGAAGTGGTCCCAGCATCAAGCCTGTGTGAGTTAAAGTGTTTGAACAACACTCTGAGGCACATGGTGTGATTCTTGGGGTGTTCTGGGCAGGGCCAGAAGTTGGACTCAATGATCCTTCTGGGTTCCTTCCAACCCAGGCCATTCTGCGGTTCCGTAGGGACGTGGCCCGCCCCTCGGCCGCAGGGCAGTGTGGCGGGCCCGCCTCAGGGCCCCGGCAGCAGCAGGTGCGCGGCGCCGCCATGTCCGCGCAGCTCCGGAGCCGCCAGGGGCCGCCCTGCGCCGCGGGAGCGCGGGCCGGGCGGGCGGGGGCGGCGCCCGGGGCGGGAAAGGGGCGGACAGCGCCGGGCCGGGCACAGCCACGGCGGGCACGGCCGCGCTCAAACGGGCAGCGCTGCGCCGGGGCCGGCGGTGCGCGGGAGAGGCGCGCAGGACTGTGGCGTCCTTTCCCTGGTTGTCCTGCGGGCGAGGCACCTGGAGGGGCAGCGGCGGCGCCCGGAGCGCTGGGAGGTACGGCGGCGGTGGGTCAGGGCGAGGTGGGTGGGTCACGCGAGGGAGTGGGGAGGAGTCGGTCCCGCCGCCTGCCAACTTCCCGCCGGCAGCGGGACGGGCTCGCCTGTTCCCCGTTTCGCGCAGTCCAAGGAGAGGTGTCCCTCCGGTTCCGCTCCCCAGCTCCTCCCGACCCCGCGGGGAGGCGGCCCGGTCCGCCGCGCTGCGGGGCACGGCCGGTGCCCGCCCCCTCCGGGAAGGAGCTCCCGCTGCCCCGCCGGCCTCAGGAGGTGGCGCAGTCCCGGCCGGAGCGGCAGGTGGGCACCGTGAGAGCGGACGGGACGGTGCCTGCGAGCGCTCTGGGCTCCGCGCAGCCCCCGGCTGACCCGCAGCCCGCGCGAAGGTGCGCTTTCCTAAGTGCTCCCCATTTTCCCTTGCCCAGCCCGTCTTCCAGAGGTGGATTTGCTGCGTGCTTACCTGCAGAGCCTCAGGAGCCGACTCGGTCTCGCCGGTGAGCGGCGGGCTCTGCGGACCTGTTGCCGCGCGGCAGGAGACGGAGGCGAGCGGGACAAGCTCCTGCCGCCCTCCCGCACCGTGCCCTGGCCCAGGGAGGGGAGGTCCGAGCCCTGCGTGCTGCTCCTGTTGTACCCGTGCTGAGCAGAGGGATAGGAGGCTCAGCACCGCAGGAGCTTGTGTTCTGGCGTGGCAAACGCTGAGACTCAGCCTGTTAAAAATGTTAATTTTCCCGCAGTTCCTTTAATCTTGGGGCCGAAGTTAGTCTGTCAAGAAACCTGCCATGCACCTGATCTGCCTGGTCTGTTAATTGTGGCGAGTTTGCAAGGTTACTTAAGGAAAAATGGTTTGTGTTTAACTCTTTGTTCACTATTGGAACTGAGTATTTGAAATCTCTGCAAGTCTTTGCAGCATCACAATGTGATAAGCTGACAGCTGGTTTCTCAGAGGCTGACCCAGGGCTCGTTATGGATAAATGAGTAATGGCTGGTGCAAGGAGTAGCAAACCCTAGAGGTGCGTGCTGTTGGCTTAAAAAAAGAAAAGCTGCAATGCAAACAGAGCGATCCTGGTTGGCAGAGATTCCTGGAGAGTCCTACTTGAAACTGATTGACCCTGCAGGTCATCTGTCTTTCTTCTGGCAAGACCACTGCCAGCTGGCATTTAAAGATGTAGAGGCCTTCTTGCTCCCATTTTGGTGGGCATATCAACCTCTTCTGGGGCTGCTTGTGAGCAGCTCTCATAAGCAAAATATTCTGATTGATGCAGGTGTTTGTCCTAAACCAGGTTGGAACAAGAACAAGTTAGCTGGATGATTATCAGGTGGATAAACTGTATTTGAGGATCCTTGCCACCCGTGCTTAGATTGCAGTGATTTCTTACATAAACAACAACAGGATCGTGTTTTCTGTTCTCCAAGTCATTTAGTTGTACTTTAAACACAGATATGATTTGTATATAACAAAGGATATTTGTGAGAAAATCCTCTTGACATCTCAGACTGGAGATGCGTTGCAGTAAGTAGAGGAGAGCCTGTTTCTTGCCTTTCTACAGCAAAGCATGTTACTCAAGATTTGCAGACTCCTCTGAGTGGACCAGCAATTGTGACAGTTGTACTTCTGCATGTCACTGGGCACAGAAAAGAGCATTCCTGGCACAAAAAATAAAAAAGGAGGCAACTGTTCTTTTTTAACAGAGAGCCTGCACATCTGAAAGAGGGGTATAGGGTAGAAAGAAGAGGAATTCAAGGTAGACCAGGTACAGTCAAGCAATATTGAGTTCCAGAAAGTGCTAAAGAGAAAGTAAGGTGGATGCAGAATAGTGTGATGTTGCTTGTCATCAGGTATCTTGGAATGATGATTTTATTCTGTCTGCTGGTGTGTTGGGGTAGTAGCTGGTGCTGCCTAGAGCACATTAGTGAGTGATGTGGAACTTGGGACTGGACCAAATCATTTCAGCTCCTTTGCTGGTATTTCTCTGCTGATAAATGGGTTTTTATCAACTGCCAGCAAAGTACTTGTCATTGTTGGGTCCCTGAGGAAGACACTTCTGTTCTGAAACAGAAACTAAGAGAAACAGAGAGGTCCAAGTGCACTGAGAACAAGGATCACAGAGTGCTTTGGAACAGCAATTGTTTAAAAATGTTAAAGGGAAAAATGTGGTACTTTGTTTAATATTCAGTCTTTATCACTAGTTAGGTAAACAGATCTCAGATGGAATATTTTATAGACAAAACACAATGTTACTTTCATTCTTCCGCTTTAGGGTATTATCTCAGGATTGATGCTTCAGTAGTACCTTTGACAGATAAGTGTCTTGTGAGCCTCTTCTGAGCCAGAGACTTAAATAGGCCTGTGCAGATAAGGTGGAGAGAGAAAGCTGAAATGAGTAACATGTAACTGGAATTTTAATGCTAAGTAGTGTAGAATTTAATTTATTTCCAGAGAAATTACCACTTTACTGCTCCACTAAGGTGCTTTGGTGATGGGTAATGAGCCTTAGAACAACAGTATGGATTTTGTTTGTTTATTTTTTCTTGTTGTTCTGATGAGCTCAGGAAAAGGTGCAACAGGTGTTAAAGCAGCATAAGAATGTGAGATTGAAAAGCAGGGAAGGGAGGAAGAGAGGATATAAAACTGGGTCATCCTGTCTTGTGAACCATCACTGTAGTTTAATTTACCCCAGAAGCATAAAAGAGTACTTAGGCTAATCAAATATCTTAATGAGAACAAAACTTTTTAAAAGCAGGAGGCTCTCTGGCTAAGACTTTCTAAGATCTGTTTGATCTAGGAAATCTGTGTTCAGTTTTAATTCAAGATATGTGCTGCTTCTGCTGTTGAGGGCATTTCCTTGCCACACCAATACAATCAGATAAAAAAGATTTTCTGTTTTTTATTTTGAAGATCCAACATACCCTTACGCTATCAAAAAATGCAGGGTTTGTATCCAGAAAGAATTCAGTAAATTCTGTGGCTATAGCATGCAGTATATATTCAGGTACTTGGTTGTAGAGGACCACTTTGGTCTTAAAACCAGGAGTTTTCTTTCCCTACTGGAGTGACTATATTGGATTTTGTTTGGTTTTTTTGATGATGTTGTGTTTTTGTTTGTTTTTGTTTTTTGTAATTTGACACTCATTACCATTTGGATATAAACAAACAAACAAAAACCCCCTAAACAACCTCAAAAACAAACAAACAAAAAGCAAAACAACCCCTCCCAAAATATATCTGTCATAATTATTCAGCTTTAAAGTTTTAAAGCAAATTCTGTCAGCTAGATGAGTGCAGTCTCTAAATCAGAGACTGGGTAGAGTGCTGAACAAGCATTTAAAACAGTTTTTGGGAGGCTTGACAGCAGGCCCTGACTGGGTGGTACTCTCATTGTGCTGAAACTGAAGAAGTGTGGCTGAGGGCTATAAGAAAGTTCCATTTCATTTCTGGCCCACTGGTCATTAATGCCTTATTCCAGCTCTACATCGTAGAAGAATTGCATTTTATCTTTTCTAGTCTCCCAACTGTCTGTATTTCAACTTTTCATTGACCAAAACAGTATGGTACAAAGGCCAGCAGTGACCATTTCAGATGGCGCTTTCCAGCAAAATATGGACTTTCTTTTTTTTTTTTTTTTTTTTTTTTTTACCCAGAAAAAAAGTCAAAAGCTGTCCACTTAGAGGATGTTGAAATATAGTCACTTTTTCTTTAAAGAAATGTTAAGTGGGTTTGAATCGCTGTGCAAATTCTAAGAGTTTTGAGTACCGTTTTTATTTTCTCATTTTAATGTCTTTTTTTTTTTTCCTGCCTTCGTTGTTGTATCCACTAGCATGATATTAAGTGCCTCATTAAGGTAGACATTGAAGTAATGTTTATCCACACGAGTATCAAAACTAACAAACTAAAACACTTAAAAAGCAAACATGTTCTTGTACAATCCTGATTTTGTTTCTTTGGGTCTCCAGTTACGGTAATGACAGAAAGTTACAAAAGTTACAAAAAGTTTAATTGTAATAATTACATGTAACAACAGCAGTCTAAATTTTTTTCATAGAAAAGTGCAGTACTTCATTTCTAAGTACTCATGTAAGGAAAAACAGTAAAGATTTAAAGTTGTTTGACTTGAAATAATAGAAGACCTTATTCAGTCTCAGAAAGTGCAACTCTTTCCACAGGAAAAGAAAGTTGCATATGTACCCTCATTGAGGGTTAACAGTGAATTCCGGGTGAGAAATATGAAAATAGTTACAGTTACTTCTTTTTTCTTCTGTAAGATGCAACTAATTTCAACTTGTAAAAGAGATTTTTTTGCAGAGAGCTAGAATAAGCAGTTCTTAAACACTTATTCCCTATAAAAGCTTAGTTGATATCAGTGGGTTAGGCTTACCTGGATACTCCCAATTATCACCTAATGAGGTCTCTATTTCCCCCCTTCAAAAAAACTCTGTGCATTTTGAAATGTAAGTCACAATTGACAATAAAGAATGCGAGTTAATAGGCATATCTGCTTTAGATTGATGGAATACCTCCCCAGAAGTGCAGATGAAGGAAGTGAATGTTTCCACGCTGTCCAGGGAGGGTTTTTTTTTTGGCTCATAATGCTGTCATTACCTAATCAAAACATGCTGTGATCTCATGAAGAAATGATAGAATCTAGTAGGATGTGGAAGGTTGTGACCATCATATCTGCTGAAGTCTGTGCTGACCCTTAGCCTTTCAGAGACTGGAATTTAAGTGCAGATTTGTGCAAAGAGAAGGATGTGCAGCGTAGATATAGGTACATACAACCTGACATTATCTTGTGTGCTGTATTGCACACAGGGAGACCTCAAGTTCATGAGCTTTGGTTCATCAGTTTCCTTAAGCTTAATATGCAAAATTGGGCCATGTTAATTCCCCACAGTAACCAAACACTAAAAGCAGCAACTTAAAAAAAAAAAATCAGATTTATGTGTACTTGAACATATTTTGTTGCCATCAAAAATCACTGTAGTGTCAACATAGTTGCAAAGTGTTTA